TCTCTGCAGCTCAAGACGTTGAAGCTGAAAATTCTGTTACCAGCTACTGGAAGTGCCACCCTTGACCCCAAATCCAGCTAATATTACAGAAAGATTCCATTACCCAGCTCAGTATCGTAGGAGACCCCCAGATTCAGATATTCCCCAATGATCTGCTCTCCTTTTGGGGTGAATAGGTTCTGCACAGGAAAGTTTGCTGTGTCTCATCAGGCATATATCCCAGGAGTGAGGTCTTCAACTCTTCCTCATTCTCTGCCTACCTTTACTCAGTAGCCTTTACTTTCATTTTCACTTTGCAACCAATATTCTGAATTGCTGCCTTAAAGGAGAACTATGGGGTAAGTGTTTTCCCCCATGGTTCTCCTAAGGGTCACGGGAGGACATAAACTAGCGTCCTCCCGTGTCCCAAAGCTCAGTATAACGCGAGACCACCGCAGCCGGGACGGATCCCAACATTACTGTCGATCCACCCAGCTGCGTGAATGACAGCTGGCTCTGCCTATCGTTCCTCCTGTCAGCGCTGGAGGAGCAGCGAGGGGGGAATCCCTGCAGGGAGCCGTGAGTGACCGTCACGGCTCTCTGCAGGGACAAGATCGAGAAGTTTATCTTTTTGTCTGAAAGCGGATTGCCTTCCTGGTGGAAAAAGGCTCTGCGTTACCTTGTTAATGCCAGGGCTCAATTAGGGAGATTGGATTTGGCTATAGTTGTGTTGGGTCTCTTAAAGGTATATCATTTGCAGTCTTCTTCAGGACAGTTTCTTGTTTCTGGTAACTCACAATGCTGGTGCTGGCAGACCTTAGCTTGTTTGCCGTCCGAAGCAATTTCTTTTTTGCACACACATGGTAAAATCTGAAATTTTGGCTAAAAAACAGATTAAAACCCCCAAACAATTACATTTCTCTTCCGTTCATTGAAGGACACAGTGGAGACCTTCAGATCTTGATGGTTGGGTTATAGCCCCACCTTCAGGAGTAGGACACTAGGCAAAAAAAAACAAAAGCACAGCCGGGGGGTTTTCCACCCAGTGTCAAGGAATACAAACCTAAGCTCCCTGATGGGTACCTTAGTTCTTGTCTTTTTGCAGGAATTTTTCCTTTTTTCGTCTGTCCTCAATCAACAAACATCTGAATTGGGTGACGAGCTGGATAATATAAATCCTTGTAGTTGGCCCAGCTCACACATCGAGCACATTCAGATCCTTATCTACATGGGGGGTTGGCTGCGATAGCCCTATCCTGGATCTACAAAGGGGGCAGTCTTTGTGTGCTCCTTATGGGGACACATATGACAGTGTTAGTACTGGGAGATGGTCCTCTTCATGTAGCTTCCATGGCTGCCAGGAATCTTGGCACCTGTGGCTCCACGTGGAGGCTTTGAAAATTGTGGCGGTTGCAGCCCCATATGCCGACCCCGGGAGTCGGACCAGCAGCTCTGCATGTTTACTGCAGAGGTTTGATGTCCTACACGCAGCTGTATGCCGCACTGGTGGCTCTGGATATCTGGTGGTCGCAGCCCTATATGCCAGCCCTCTATCCTTTTATGTTGTCAGACTAAACGGCAACCTCCATGCTGTTCTTGCAGATCTTTGAGCTGCTTTTAGCAGTTTCAAAGTCTCAAGAGGAAACAGATGTCCCCTTTTAATCAGAAGGTTTAAAGAATTATTAGAAGAGAAATATGGCCCAACCTTTTTAGGCCATAGTTCTCTTCAGGGTCACAGAAGGACATCTATGAATGTCCTCCCGTGACTCAAAACTCAGCATACAGCTGGCTATTTGGATCTTCTCTGAACTACAGTTCGACCCAAAAAACTCTTCTTTTCACAAAACGTGAATCTGCTTTCTTATGCTCGTAATGTATGGGCCAGGAGCCTGCCAACCTGGACCCTTCGCACGGGAGTTCTGGGCTTGATGGTTAATTTCTTCATGGTACTTTGATTTGCTTGTTCCCTCCTGGACCCCTACATCCTATCTCAATTTCCTGTGGGACAGTCAGTTGAATTCCTGGACAACAGAGTTGGCTGTTACTGTGGTTCAGGTTATCCTTGGTCTGCTGGTTCAGGTCCACCTCTAGGTTAGGGGAGTCTTTCCTTCTGCAACCCCTATGAGGGACGCCATTCGACCAGGCTGGGGTAGGGTAGGCACAGGGGACCTGGTCTCCTGGAGGATCTTCTCGTTTTCCAATTAAGTTTTGGAGCTCCAAACCTTTGGTTATTCCCACAAAGCTTGCCACCCTTTCTGGGGGTCCTCCATTGGCTCTTACACTGCAGTCTTCCTATGCTCACAGTGTCTGGACTTTGGGGGCTCAGGTCCTGTGCCCGGACATCTTGCGGGGACTTGGGTACGAGCTGGCAATCTCATCTTGTGCACTACTTCTGATCATACATGAGGGCGGGTGGTGTTGCTGCCTGGAGCCTAGGGCTGCAACAACTAATCGACATAATCGATTATTGAAAAAGTTGTCAACTTTTTCAATAATCGATTAATCGGCTTCCGATCAGTTGGTCCTGTTCACAGCTCCACACGCTGTGCGCCGCACCTCCTCCCCACCTCACGCTCGCCGCTGCCAGACCCGCTCGCATCCACGCTCCACACGCCGCACCTCCTCCCCGCCTCACATTTCCTGCCCATCCACGATCGGCAAGGCACGCGGGGAGATGTAGTAAGGAGGAGCAGGGGTGGGGGGATGACAGCCGCTGATAGACAGGTCCAATCTCAGAAGCAAGTTGCTGGAAGACTGCTCAGGTAAGCCTGCACTTTCCCACACATGGTGCTCTATAATGTATTGCTGGGATTTGTATTTCTCTATAGCTGATGGTACATTGTACTGTACATTATACATAGGAATACAAATACCAGCAATGCATTATACACTGTATGTATAATGTATTGCTGGGATTTGTTGTACTCCTCTATAGCTGGTGATATTCTGCATTGCGCTGTATAGAGGACTACAAGTCCCAGCAATAATACATTATACAGCGCAATGCAGAATACCACCAGCTGTAGAAGAGTACAACAAATCCCAGCAATAATACATTATAAAGTGGTACAATGCTAAATACCACCAGCTATAGAGGACTACAAAACCCAGCAATAGTACATTATACAGCGCAATGCAGAATGCCGCCAGCTATAATGTACTATTGCTGGGATTTGTTGTATTCCTCTATAGCTGGCGGTATTCTGCATTGTGCTGTATAATGTGCTTTTGTTGGGTTTTGTAGTCCTCTATAGCCGTTGCCATTCTGCATTCATTGCTATATAATTTTACACTTTCCATTTCACTATATTGCACACCACACTATCTTTTTTTCTTTTTTACTTCCACCGGTCCAAGCTTGCTCCTGTGATGGACTACAACCTCAATACAAACTAGCAGTCCTATCACTGGAGCCATTTTTTGAACTTTATTTTATAGTTTATCCGATTTAACCGATTAATCAAACTTAATAATCGGCTAACTAATCGATTTTGAAAATAATCGTTAGCTGCAGCTCTACTGGAGCCTCATCATTCTTGGATGGTTTTGGCCTTTCACCTTAACCAAGTCTTTGTTCTACTGTTTCCTTGCTGTGCTTCAAGTCTTCGGAAAGCTATTCTTTTTCTTTGCCTGGATGTGGTTCATTGTGTTTTGAAAGCTTAGTTTTCCTTACTGGTTCTCAAGAGAATAACCCAGCTTCTTGCTCTGCTATTGCTTGGCTGTTCGAATGGATTTTTGAGTTTGGCTTGGGATCGGGTTTCACCCTTTCTGTTGTAATTTTGCTGGTTCTGGGTGTCCTTATTGACTTCTTCAGCAACTGGCTTCTGTTCTCAGAGGCATCCCTGTCTACTGTCTTTTGTTTTCATTTTCCGTTAGTTCTCCTTTCGGGATGGTTTTACATGTACCATGTATGGGTATAGGTCCATTCAATATAAAGTCATATAGCCAACAAATGAGGAGATACTGTACACCATATGAAGGTCCATCTCCATTCCTCAATATAACGTCATGTGACCAACAAATGAGGAGGAGATACTGTACACCATATGAAGGTCCATCTCCATTCCCCAATATAACCTCATGTCCCCAACAAATGATGAGATACTGTACACCTTATGAAGGTCCATCTCCATTCCTCAATATAACGTCATGTGACCAACAAATGAGGAGGAGATACTGTACACCATATGAAGGTCCATCTCCATTCCTCAATATAACGTCATGTGACCAACAAATGAGGAGGAGATACTGTACACCATATGGAAGGTCCATCTCCATTCCTCAATATAACGTCATGTGACCAACAAATGAGGAGGAGATACTGTACACCATATAGAAGGTCTATCTCCATTCCTCAATATAATTTCATATTTCTACAAAGGGATGTAGCAAAAGGTCCATCTCTATTACCCCCCATAGCTGACATTAATAAACAAAACAATTTTACCCAGTGTGTCATCGTTGTTTCGGGTGTTTTTATTCTTTACCTCAGCAGGTTATTATCTCATGTTATGTTGTAGTTGTACCAAATATCATGCCAGACCTTTGTAAAACTGTTGACCATTAGATAAGCATACTGTACATGACTCTTCTTACTAACATTTTTTAAAATTTTCATTTCAGCAGATGGATGTGATGTCGGGAATACCTCGGAGAGACATCTTATATTATCTGCTGATTGTAAGTCAGAAGATAATGTCATCACACAGGATTCTCCAGGAGTGAATCCAAATACACAAAATATACATCACAGACCTCACTGTTTGGAGACATCAATGGATCCCTCTGATCAGGGTGAATCTTCTGATCATTCACATACTATGATTGGAAATATCCATCTAAGATTTCACACTGCAAGAGATCCATCTAATCCCAAGGAATCTTCCTCCCCCCATGTAGGAGATCACAGAAATGAGAATGTATTCTCGTGTTCAGTGTGTGGGAAAACCTTCACTGAAAACAAAAAGCTTCTTGAGCACCAGAGAATTCACATGGGAGAACGAACGCATTTATGTACAGAGTGCGGAAAATCTTTCACTCAGAAAGAAACACTTGTTAAACACCAGAGAATTCACTCGGGTGAGCGTCCTTATTCATGTTCAGTGTGCGGGAAATCTTTCACTCAGAAAGAAACTCTTGTTAAACACCAGAGACTTCATACGGGTGAACGTCCTTATTCATGTTCAGAGTGCGGGAAATCTTTTACTCAGAAAGGAGCCCTTGTGAAACACCAGAGAATTCACACAGGTGAGCGTCCTTATTCATGTTCAGAGTGCGGGAAATCTTTTACTCAGAAAGGAGCCCTTGTGAAACATCAGAGAATTCACACAGGTGAGCGATCTTATGTATGTTCAGAGTGTGGGAAAGCTTTCACTGAGAAAGGAGACCTTGTCAAACACCAGAAACTTCACATGGGTGAGCGTCCTTATTCATGTTCAGAATGTGGGAAATCTTTCACTGAGAAGGGAGCCCTTGGTGAGCACCACAAGATTCATACGGGTGAGCGTCCTTATTCATGTTCAGAGTGCGGGAAATGTTTCACTGAGAAAGGAAACCTTGTTAAACACCAGAAAATTCACACAGGTGAGCGTCCTTATTCATGTTCAGACTGTGGAAAATCTTTCACTGAGAAAGCAAACCTCGTTAAACACCATACAATTCATACAGGTGAGCGTCCATACTCATGTTTAGAGTGCGGGAAATCTTTCACTGAGAATGGAGCCCTTGGTAAACACCAGAGGATTCACACAGGTGAACGTCCTTTTTTTTGTGCAGACTGTGGAAAATCTTTCACTGAGAAAGGAGCCCTTGTTAGGCACCAGAAAATTCACACAGGTGAGCGTCCTTATTCATGTTCATTCTGTGGAAGATCTTTCACCGAGAAACATATATTTCTTTCACACCAGAGAAAACATACTGTGGATCATCCTCACTGCTTTCCGGCTGCAGGAAATGATTTAGAAATAAAAGAAGTCTAATTAGACGACAGAGGATGTTTCTGATGATTCTGTTGACAAATGTACGATGGCTTTTAACAGGTGGAACTGTTTAGTCCATAGAACTGGAGGATATAAAAAAAAACTAGGACTCATCACATGGGTGCAGTGGCCTGTGCTGGGTGGTGCCCAGTTGTACATAAAACTAAGCATTTACACTGAGTGGCCAGATTATCAGGAACACCCCATCAGTACTTCGTTGGGCCGCCTCGTGACTCCACGAGATGATGAAAGGTGATGCGAGGAATCTGACACTGCACTGTAGCCCTTCTGTTGTCTTGTACCAGTCTTGCCCCTCCCCCCGTTCTGCCCTAACTAGTCGCTGACGGCCACAATTCGCACGTTCAGACCCAGGTTTTCGGCTGACAGTCCAGTCTTTAAACACTTTAACAACAGCTGCTCTTGAACATTTAACGAATTCTGCTGTTTTGCTGATACTCGCTCCATGGCGCCGAGCGCCAACAATCATCCCACGTTCAAAGGCTGTTCAATCGCATTGTTTCCCCGTATCTTCAGAAACAAATCACTTCTACTGTCGTGGTAACCAACCTGCTTCCCTATTTATAATGGTCTGGCCCTCTAGCAACTTCAGCGCCAAATTATAGATCATTTGCCTACAAACGTCAGGTGGTCATAATCTGGCCACTCAGTTTACATCATCCTAAACCTGCCCACACACCTTACAATTTATCTGTAGATGTTCTGTGGTCAAAGGTGCAACAGATTCCTCCATCTACACTTAACTGTGTGGATGGAGTAATCTCCACCTGGGCCAATCTGTTGCACTTTTTTCCATCTGACCACAGAAAATCTGCAGATAAATTGTAAGGTGTGTGGGCAGCTTTACAGGGACAAGTGAGTGGCCCTGGATGGAAACAGTCTGCGTCCCGAGCTGCTCACCCATCTCTGTATAGATGTAAATGCTTGGATGTATGTACAGACATATTTAAATCGCTTTCTAACATAGATGGAGAGTGCAGAAGAACTTCATTCAATTTATCAGGAAGAAGACTGTTCCTTAGTTTGGTGGCTAAAAGCACACTTACAGACAACTCAAAAGATTATTGCTGTTGTAAACACATTAAGAGAATCCGTCAAGAGAAGCTACTGCAAACGGTAAGGGGAGAGCTGTCAGAGAATGTAGTGTGTATGGTGGGAGGAGAGCTGTCAGAGAATGTAGTGTGTATGGTGGGGGAGAGCTGTCGGAGAATGTAGTGGGGGAGAGCTGTCAGGGAATATAGTGTGAATGGTGTGGAGAGAGCTTAGCTTATTGTTTGGATGGAGGAAGGGGTTCCCAGAGAATGTAGTACAGACATTGTGGAAAGAGGTAGAATACAGAGGCGCAAAGAGTGTTTAGTGCTGAGGACACTGCTAAGAGAATAATGTGTAGTGTGGATGGGGGAGGAGAGCTGTCGGAGAATGTAGTGTGGATGGAGGAGGAGAGCTGTCGGAGAATGTAGTGTGGATGGTGGGGGAGAGCTGTCGGAGAATGTAGTGTGGATGGTGGGGGAGAGCTGTCGGAGAATGTAGTGTGGACGGTGGGGGAGAGTTGTCAGAGAATGTAGTGTGGACGGTGGGGGAGAGTTGTCAGAGAATGTAGTGTGGA